TTGTAAAGATTGTTGTCCGAAGGTTACATGTATTAATCTTTTATTAAAATACATTGTATTGGGTAACGATATTTAGAATTTATAAAAATTTAATAATTATTTACATTCATAGAAAATTAAAAATATCAGAGTTATTTTTATGAACAGAATAAATGTGCTTGCTAAAAAAAATACTTCCTATATTTATTATATGAAAATATAGCAAATATTCTAAATCAACGGATTTTACGCATTCCGTAAATGAATTGGTTTCGGACTTCACTACACAAATGATGGCCAAAGAGGGCATTAATCGGCCGTTTGTTCCGAAAATATATCTCTTTGAAACAATCTTAAACATAATTTCCGTGACTATTGTCAACCATAAGTAAATATTAAACAAACATTAAAATAATTATTTACCGGAAATGATTAAAATTTTCAGATTAGATGATGAATATTTTACCATATTCAAATATGTGGCTACGTTATTTTCGCATCATTTAGGCAACAAATATATTCTCTACGAATATATACCGTATTTTCGTCCCTTTATGTCCGACCCGTTAATTAAATTTCGCAGTCATTATAAACAATGTTTAGATTATTTGCTAAACGTATTGAAAACACACGAAATGACTTACGACGAGAACAATTGCCGAGACGTTTGCGATATGTTTATCGGCGCTAAACGTAAGGCTAAGGCCGAGTGCCGGCCGGGGGTGGAGTGGCTTACAGATGACAATATAACCGCAACCTTTATAGATCTATTTGTTGGTAAAATATTTTTAGCAAATAACCTAGTACAAATAAATGCTAAACTAAGTTAAAATGATTTAATTAATTAATCATCACTTACCAATTGAATTCAAACAAATGATACAGAATTAAGTATCATAATGTATTTCTATGAGAGACTTGTTCTATATCGATTAATAAGTGTTTTAGTTGAAAAATCAAAAAATTAAAAAATTACTTTTTGTAGTATCTAATTATGAACAATTTGATGCACTAATCATTAAAATTGAACATGTAGATTTTAAATGGCAAGCAATTGTAATTAGGCAAATTTGAAATACATTATGTTACTTAATTCTGTATCATTTGTTTGAATTCAATTATAAATAAGTTTTACATAAAATTTAAGCTAAAAATACCATAATCTAATAACAGGTGGCGTCGATACGACATACGCGACACTTCAATGGCTGGTATTATTTGTCGCATACTTTGAGGACTGGC